TTTATTTTATTAATATTTTTCTGTTTTATGTCTAAAAACAAGAGTAAACTGACTATTTTATTGTATTTACGTGTGGTTTTATCTGCGTGTATCTAGATATTGTCTATATGACGATCGATAGAACTAGTAGTTTTTTGCAAACAAATGTTGATAAAATGTTATAATTTGTTTAAAAAGGTAGGTGCCTCCGAGTTGAGTGTTTATTGATTATTTGCGTAACTGGAGTTGTCTCGAGGTCATTCATTGTATTGTAAGCGTGACGCAATTCAAATAAAAATCCTACTTCGTCGTTTACCAAAGTTTGTTTGTTATCTTATCCTTCCCCTTTTTAACTAATTAGCACGGTTACCCACATGTGTTCACATATCATAACGGATGTAATTACTTATTACATAGCCAAAAATTCGCTTCCAAAACAACATGTAGTATGCATGTATTCAAAAAATTACGGATGGTTATTACTTATTAAGTGTACAATACATATTCATGTATTATATTTACTGATTAATTAATGCGATTGGGCTTATAACATCTAGAAAGCCTGTAGGAACCATAGACGTAGGAATGTAGGAACAGAACATAAACTATAGGTGGTTGCCAAGTAGAATGTGGTGCCTAGATTCAATTGGTTATCGTACTGCTGTTTGTTGACGATTACATGACGTAGCCAATAAAATCTACATAGGCACCACCGGATGGGCGCCACCCATTCTACCCTTGGATAATTCTCTCTTTTTATCTGTAATAACACTATGATATTCCTGGTCTTACTTTTGTGGTGTGAAACAATCTAAAAGTTAGTAGCAACAGTACATTGCACTCACTCGTAAAATAGAGAATACGGTGACATTGTTATTATTATCTTTTATTTTAATGCATGTCACTGTCGCTTTTTCCATATTCTGCTTAGGTATATATATATATATGTACGTGTAGCATATCTAATTTTATTTAACATATTTACAACTCGCAATTCAGTAATTACTACGTTCGCTTGTAAATTTAATTTGAGTGGCAGTATGCGTATGACTAGTGGCAATTGCAAATTTGTATTGGATTCTGAAATGTAGTTGATAAAATTTGCAAGTGAAACATTAAAAAGATTCAAACATTTGAAAGCTCTTATGTGAGACAAATCTTTAAATCTTGCGGAGTACAGGATTTAGTTACTTTTGTGTTCAAACAATAATTGTGCAGTCTACTTAGTAAATATCTCCTGTTTTATTCATTTATGATTAGCGTATTGTTTTGCGAATATTTTGATTTATCGCAAACGAGAGCAAACAAAAGATTGTTGTCATTGCAAAATTTATGTATTGGCACATTTTGCGTGGTACACCTGCACACAAACGATGCAAACGTGACGGTTTCAGAACAGTTTCAAAGACTGTTTGAAACAGATCATATTTACCACGAATAGATATACAGTCGTCAGTATCTTGGAGGAAATAGTGGAGTAGATCAGTACATGCAGGTGGTAGTGGTAAGGTCTCTCAATGACTTGTTATATACGAATGCCGCAAGTGGCGATCGATACCCGCAACACATGCATCTGAGAGTCGACAGCGGCGAGTTATAAATCATACTGCGAACAATAGCTAAGGAAACTCACAAGACGTTTCCGAAAATAATCAGGAAGAACTAAATTAGTAAATTACATTACAAATGGATTACATGTTCAACATTAATTGCCCTATTTGTTGTTTAATAACTACAGTATTGAATAAAGCAACATTTGTAACAGTTTTATTTCTCCGTAGAACATGTAACGGAAACCAAAATATAAGTGGGGGTTGAGCCTTATTACTATTTACCTGTTTACGATTAGTAATCTCGGCAATTGACCTTGATACTGTGTTATCAAATATTTGTTGTTTACGTGTTAAGAGGTTACTTAATGGAGATAAAAAATTAGGTTCGTGTCGATGCGACTTGGTTTTGTGTTTATGTTACAAATGGCGCGGTATCACGATGCTATGTAATTACTTTTGCTTAGGAGGAGATAAATTGTTCATGTGGGTCAAGAAATGTTGCTGGCCTAGATTGAGTTACCGATTGTTTACGAATACTTCAACATTACAGGTTTATGAGGTGTTGTAATGATCATGATGCTCATTAAATGTGACTTTACACACCGCCAAGTTTTCTTGGCATTAACAAGGACTTTTTATTCGTGTAGAAGAGAGATGTTGTAGCTATTTACTTAAATTTCCCCAACTGGCTCATTCAAATAAACTCCCTTTGTTTTTGTTCGCTAATTTGTCATCAGCTTTTGGTTAGCCTTACATTTTCCGCATTTGAAAATATTAATTACTTTTATCTAGTATGAAAAAATCACTTTTTCATTTATTTGGACAAATATTTTGCTTGTATGAGATGGAAACTGCAAAGGTTGTGAAGTGGAGTGATAAATAATAATCGGTTAAACGGATATTGGAACCGCTTTGTTTGTAAACATTAGGGGCCAAAACAAGATATTTTCGTGCGATTCTACATTCGTATTTATAGATTTCTATTCTGAGATTTTATTGTTTGTGACTGGTACCGTTCCTCTACTTATGTATTTATTCAAGTGCATCAGCAGGTACTTAAAAGTTTAAAGCATCCTTACAAAAATACTAACCTCAATATACGCAGATACGTAATATACATATTTGCATAATAAGAAAAAATAAAGGTTTTGATGCGCTAATATCAATCATGGATCAGTGGCGGCTCATGATGAAATGAAGGGGTGTTTTGTGCACTAATTAGCTGCGTTAAATGCAGCTCACTAACTGGTCTATATTTGGTGCTTTATGCTAATAAATGGGCTGTAGCGGGGACTTTACAGCAGAGCCGGCCGAACTTAAACTTCGTAGGACCCGCTACCTGAGGTTAGTTTGGGTCACTCTATACCCTTCACTGAGTACGAGAGAGTAAGCAGTAATGACAGATATTGCTTTCTGTTTTTCTTCTCTCTTCCACTCCCATATCAATGGAAGGGATAAGAAAAGGAAATGGGGAGCTCCTTGGCTATACCTGAGGAGCATTCGGGAGTCAAAAGAGCCGAATTTACTCGTCTCTGGTTTATGCTAACAAATGGGCTGTAACAGGGAGCGGGTGCGGGTTCTCGAAGTACATTCCAGAACTGCTTCGTGTGGTCCTGTTCAATAATAATAGTAATAACATCGCGCCGCGCCCTACGAGAGACCCAGAAAATTAATTTAAAAACCGCGTAATGTCACGTAGCTTTGTCGAAAATTTTTGTTTGAAAATATATATATTACTGTAACAACCGTTCGTTGGTAGGTATACTTATAATAGTTTTATTACTTTCAGATAGGCTTAAAAAGTCTTGTGTATATGCCCAGGGGCAAAATCTACATCCAAAGATGTCCAAAGCTTTGCCACATTGATACTGTAGATTGGACAGCTATCGGAACTGAGCACCCAACTGTAATGATAACTGCCGATGAAGCTGATGTTATGAGGAACCGCAAGCCTTGTTCGACGACTTGTCCGTCAAACTGTAAAACCGGTACGTATTTTCTAAACGTTTGTCGTGATAATTCATTTACGTTCAATTAACGTTTGTTATAGGACACTGCTGGAACGAGAACGTTTGTCAAATAACCAGGAGCAAATCGTGCCCTAACGACTGCTCTATTTGTACAGAGGAATCGAAATCGATAGCAACTAACTCCTGCATGTCGTGTAATTATTTGACCGATAACGGTTTGTGCGTCAGGAGTTGTCCCCGAAATAAGTTAGATAATAATACTCTTTATATTTTGACAGTATAAATATGTATTTCGTTTTTGGAATTGTAGGTTCCTTCATACCCTGCTGTACACGTGTGTCACCGAGAAAGAGTGTACATCGATTCTGGACAATACATGGTGGACTTTTCAGCAGAAATGCATCAATTCGTGCCCTCAGGGGTTCAAGTCTATTCCTATAGAACAAGGTGGTTGTGAGTCTTGCCACGGCCGTTGCGAAAAATGGTGCCATGCCGATCCCGAAAATGATTTTGTCATATTGGTTGACACAACGTCAGAAGCTCAAAAGCTTGGAGGCTGTACACACATAAACGGCTCTCTATCTATTCGAATTGATACGAAAAGTCTGGCCGAAGAATTAGTTAATCATTTGGGTAAAGTGGAAGAAATTACAGGGTTCTTAAAGGTTTCTCGTTCGTACCATATTACCTCACTGATGTTCCTGAAAAGTTTAAAGGTCATTCACGGAAGAGTAGTTGACAATAGACGCCATTCGTTGGTAATATACGAAAATCAAAATTTGCGCGAGCTATGGAATTGGAACAAGTTCTCTTTGGCGATTAAAAACGGGACCATCTCATTTCATTACAATCCTCAGCTTTGCCTTAAGGAGATTGAAAAACTTGCTGAAATGACAAATTTAACTGGCACTTACACGGACATTGACGTGACACCGGATTCGAATGGAGACAAAACAGCATGTAATTACGTGGACTTACATGCTAAATATACTGATCTTAATCCGACAAACGTGACTTTAAAGTGGGATCATTTCAGACTGCACGAAAACGATTCTCTTATCAATTACGCCGTATACTATATGGAAAGAGACGCTACAGTCATGACGACCTCCGATGCCCAAGACGAGTGTAGCGGTGAAGGTTGGAATAGTGTCTTCGTTTCAAGTAATACGGCTGTAATTTCCAATCTAGAGCCTTTTACTGAGTATGCATTTTACATTAAAATGTATGTTTCAATTCCCTCGCATGGCGGACAAACTAATGTCACGTACTTCCGCACGGCTCCAGACGATCCATCTCAGCCACGCGAGATCGTTACTGAAGCAATAAATAGTAGCACGATTAGGATTAAATGGCTACCGCCCTTGTACCCGAACGGTAATCTTTCACACTACCACGTGCTGGGTTTTCTGGAACCTGACGATCCTAAATTTATTGCCCAAAGAGACTATTGTTTGTATCCTCCCGAAGACACTGGGAAACAACCTGTTTTGGTACAAAACTCTTCATTAATTAATTCAACGAAGAATGTAGGTGATTGTAATTGTTCTATAGAAACTGCGAAAATAACGAAGGAAGAATTTGATGTTTTGTGTGATAGCATAGTGTCAGTGTACAGCGGTAACGAATCTTTGATAAACAGTGGTTCTTGTAAGAGATTCATGTACATTCAGGAAAATCGCGATTTGTATAGAAATTATCAATCCGGACCAGTAAAAGCGGAAGATTATCGAAAAGAGGACCATTACATAGACAGAATTGTCCCAGCGAACGAAACCAATTTGGACATCAGTGGTTTACGTCGGTTTAGCATGTATGTTTTTTTAATTTCTGCGTGCAATCCAGATTATAAAGGTAAACCGCAGTGTAGTTCTCCCATTCTTGTATTTAAAAGGACTTCGAAAGACGAAAAGTCAGACGATATACGACCTGATCCAGTGGTTACCGTCGAGGGCAGCAATGTAGTGTTAAAATGGCAACAACCAAGGAGTCCCAATTCCATTATAGTGGCTTATCGAATAGAACACAAGAAAACTGACATTGAAAACACGAAACCAGCTTACAAGTGCGTTACAGCGGACAACCATATTAGGAACGGAAACACCTACACGATTAAGAATTTGTTACCCGGAGAATACACTGTTCGAGTTAAAGCCATTTCCTTGGCGGGCGCCGGGAATTTCGGAAACTTGTACAAATTTGAAATAGACGACGACTCAAAACCGCGTTTGTGGATTATACCATTCATGCTTATCATACTCACCGTGTTGATTCTGTTGCTCCTTTTGTACGCTTGGTATAAGAGGAAGCACAAGATGGACATGTTGCATTTAATAGCTAGCATCAATCCGGACTACGCCGGTCCCGTGTACGTGGAAGACGAATGGGAAATAGATAGAGAAGATGTCGAAATTTTAAACCCATTGGGCAAAGGTACTTTTGGCATGGTATACAACGGACGTATCAAGTCAAAGAATTTAGATTGTGCGATTAAGACTGTCAACGAAAGTGCTAAAATGCACGATCGTATGGAGTTCCTGAACGAAGCAGCTGTCATGAAGGCATTCAGTGACGCACATCATGTGGTTAAACTGTACGGGGTGGTTTCCAGAGGCAATATTCCCTTAGTTATAATGGAGCTGATGCAGAGAGGCGATCTTAAATCATACTTGCGTAGGTCAAGAGATTCCTCCAACTCCATTAACTGCGCGGAAATGTACAGAATGGCAACAGAAATAGCCGACGGTATGGCCTATTTGGCTGCGAAAAAGTTCGTCCATCGCGATCTGGCCGCTCGTAATTGTATGGTATCCGCGGATCGTACGGTTAAAATTGGCGATTTCGGAATGACCAGAGACATTTACGAAACGGATTATTACAGAAAAGAAAGTCGCGGATTACTTCCGGTTCGTTGGATGGCTCCTGAAAGTTTAGCGGACGGGATATTCACGTCCGACTCCGACGTGTGGAGTTACGGGGTGGTTTTATGGGAAATGGCAACGCTTGCCGAGCAGCCGTACCAAGGACTAGCGAACGAACAAGTGCTGCAGTTCGTCATTGCGAAAGGAACGTTAGATCGTCCGCCCGATTGTCCCGACCTGCTCTACGAAATAATGGTGGCATGTTGGAAGTGGCGCCCTTACAATAGACCGCAGTTTATCGACATCGTACAAAAACTGGAAAGCCACGTTGGACAAAACTTCCGACTCGTTTCGTTTTACCACAGTAGGGAAGGTGAAGAGTTTAGACTGAACAGTAAGGAGAGGGTGCAAAACATGCCCGCGTTAGGTGTACGGATTGATCAGAACAGTGGCGTGCATTGGACGTCGACCTCCGACGACGAAGTTAGCATATCTTCCGACCAGCCGAGCGAATTATTATCCTATTCACACCAAAGACAAACACAATCTCCGAGCGGTAGTAGTAATTTACAATAGCGTGTAACTAATAGTAATTATAAGTAGACGCGATTTTTTATCGAATCATTGTGATATGTTTATAGTCATTAGGTTTACATGATATAAAATTGTTAAAGCTGCCTTAAAATGTCTATATATATAATATAGTAATTATATTATACACACACACACATACATACATACATATATAATGCAATGTAACTGCCTGTTGCATTTCAATTTTTTCATTTGTTACAACCATAGCGAATGTTAATATACATACATATAATTTGCGTAGAAAATGTTGCTATTATATTATAATATATT